GGGGGGTACACATTCACCCACGGTACGCTCGCCCGGAAGGGGGGGGGGTACACATTCACCCACGGTACGCTCGCCCGGAAGGAGGGGGGGGGTACACATTCACCCACGGTACGCTCGCCCGGAAGGGGGGGGGGTACACATTCACCCACCACGGTACGCTCGCCCGGAAGGGGGGGGGGTACACATTCACCCACGGTACGCTCGCCCGGAAGGGGGGGGGTACACATTCACCCACGGTACGCTCGCCCGGAAGGGGGGGGGGTACACATTCACCCACGGTACGCTCGCCCGGAAGGGGGGGGGGTACACATTCACCCACGGTACGCTCGCCCGGAAGGGGGGGGGGATTACACATTCACCCACGGTACGCTCGCCCGGAAGGGGGGGGGGGTACACATTCACCCACCCACGGTACGCTCGCCCGGAAGGGGGGGGGGGGGGTACACATTCACCCACGGTACGCTCGCCCGGAAGAAGGGGGGGGGTACACATTCACCCACGGTACGCTCGCCCGGAAAGGGGGGGTGGTATACATTCACCCACGGTACGCTCGCCCGGAAGGGGGGGGGGGGTACACATTCACCGGAAGGGGGGGGGGGTACACTCGCCTGGAAGGGGGGGGGTACACATTCACCCACGGTACGCTTGCCCGGAAGGGGGGGTACACATTCACTCGGGGTACATTTAGCCAAGGAGAGGCTATAAAGAAACGATGTTCTGCTGATCGCTATTCCAGCTGAGTGGGTTGATAGTTCTGGGTGGGGAGGTCGGTGTGTTTTGATGCGTTTGGTACACAATATTTTCTTTCAGAAGGATTCTAGCAGCCGGTATGACGTCTCTGAAGCTGCACAAACCAGATCAGATAACAATACGTGTCACTCATCCCTCGGCACAGTCACTCTGGTTGCATTTCATAATCCAGGAGTTTTTGTTTATCATTAGCACGCGACAGACCTGACCTGGGAGAAACCTGCGGAGACCTCCAAGGGATTTCCATAGGAAGACTCCATACTGTGACTGCACCAATGTACTCACTTTTGTTTGCCAGTGCAAGCTGACCGAGAGCCTTGGAGTTATTGAAAACCAAGTCCATGGCTCAAGTAGATGTAAATCCTAACTGGATGACAATTAGATCCCTTTCTGCATTATAATCAGTTGGCATTTTTTTTAACCCATTTTCCATCAGTGCTGCTGATCTCCAGCATCCTCTTTGCAGCCACTTCTGGTCTACATGCATTCCAGTGATGGCTTTTATAGCATTTCTCAGTGCAGGTTTCCTGATGGTGACAACACTGGGCCATGCCTATGTTTAAACAGTTGCTTGTAGTCTCCATCAGAAACCCATGTGACTGGGTGACAACACAGGAGTATTGGGGGGGGGGGGGGGGGGGGGGGGGGGGGGGGGGGGGGGGGGGTGGGGGGGGGGGGGGGGGGGGGGGGGGGGGGGGGGGGGCAGGGACAGTGTTGCCTTCTCTAAACTTCTCTAACCACTTGCCCCGCAGAGGATTTACCCCCCCCCCCCCCCCCCCCCCGACCAGGCCATGTTTTGCAATACTCAGCACATCGCATGCGAGTCACACCGCATTCCTGTGCAAATCAATGCGATTTCTGTGCGGTGCATTCATTCCGTATGGCTCAGATCACGCCGCATCTGCGCCAAAATAATGCGGGACCCTTTTTTTTTGTCCTCACCAAAATCTAATTGTATGGGTCAGGGGCGGACTGACAAGTCATGGGGCCCCCAGGCAATAGGGGATCATGGGGCCCCTGTGTCCTTGCCCAAACTCAAAGCAGCCTATGAAGAAAAAAAAAAAAAAAAAAAAAAAAAAAAAGGAAGGTACCAGGGGGCATCTCATGGGGCCCCCTACTGACCGAGTTTCCAAATGGTCAGTCCACCCCTGGTATGGGTATTCACACCTATGCGACCCGATTCTGCACATCGAACCGAGCATACACACCCGCAGCGTTTCGCATGAATGAGGTGCAATTGTGATGCAGCGTGGAAATCACACAGAAACCAGTGCAAATTCTGCACCACATCAGTGTAAACCCAGGCTAACGTTGCAATGTGAACACCTCCATCCGCTCCCTACTGTAACAATTTTGTGTGGTATTGATAGGTATTCAGGAAGTGTTAAAAACGTGACCAAGCCACCTCTTTTCAATAACTGTAAGAAAGAGCCCTTCCTGTCTAATTGATGGATATCAAAAAAAAAAAAAAAAAAAAAAAATTATTATAATATATATCTCATGACACCAGAAGCACGACTTATATCCATCCATGACAGTGTTGTCTATCTGCTCCGCACAAAAAAGGTTTTTCGTGGCAGCCTGTCCAGTCCAGTTGCGGCAGCTTAAGTCCCCATGCACACTGGACATTTTCATAGGAGCTGTTTTAGGCTTTTGGCATTTTTTTCTACAGCCATTGAACTCCCCAGCATGTTATCCTATCTGTCCATGCACACATAGGCTTTAATCAGCGTTTTTTGGCTGCAAAAAAAAAAAAAAAACCCCTAGAACTGGTGGGTTTCTAAGGACTCGTTCACACTGGGCTCTTTTACCAATGCTTGCCAAACGCCCCTATAGTGTTTGGCAAGCGTTGGTCCAGCATTTGCGGAGCGTTTTTTAACACCGCATGCGTGGTTTAGCGGCGGTTGCTAGGCGTTTGCCGGGTGTTAAAAACGCCTACAATGCAGTTTGAATGGTGTTACCGCTCTGCAAACGCCCCGCAACCGCACACGCCGGCCATTTGCGGAGCGGCACCATAGACTAGAATAGGAGGCTTCAACGCCTCCTGACTCGACCAGAGGCATCCCGTTTTGCCGCGACGCAAACGCTCCCGTTAGAACAGCACCATCTGTTGTAATGTGCAGAATTGGCAGAGGCGTTTGGGAAGCGGTAAAAACGCTTCCCAAACGCCTCTCTGCCGCCAGCACACAACGCTAGTGTGAACGTAGCCTAAAGGAGTTTTATAGCTGTAAATGCTATAACCCGGTAAAACGCAGCAAAGCGACAGTTTTTTTTTTTAGCAGAAATTGTATTTTTTGTGTGAAAAAAAAAAAAAAAAAAAAAAAATGCAGAAAAACTTGCATTTTTAAACGCGACTTTAGACCGTCAATACTACCAGCGGTATTAAAATGCCCAGTGTGTATGGAACCTTACAATCATAAAAATTACAGGAATAGAAGGACCAGCTGCAGGTAAAAAGGCAATTCTGGTAATTGGCTCTCTGGTCCTTCCAGAGCTAAACATGTGCAAATGTCACAGGAAACCCCCAACATTCCGCAGCGGAGGAGGGGTGATTGCAGGTTGGTGGGACAAGTCACACCAAACAAGGTTCTTTGCAATGCAAACAAAAAGAAAAGAAAGGGATTTAAAAAAAAAAAAAAAGGAGACAAAAGAAAAAAAAATAAACAAGGATTAAAAAACCAAAAAAACAAAAACAAAAAAGGGTGAAAAATTGCAAATTTGTTGTATTTTACATATTAAAGTAAAATGTAAATCCTTCCCCCAAAAAAATCAAAAAAAGATATGTGCACATTTTGGACCCATGGAGCACAAAAACATGCTCTTCCCCAACGCACAGAAACGAGCCTCTTTTTAGCAGACTCACGGCAATGCCATTAATTCTTAATGGCACCCCCACGCATCTGCTAATAAACACGTTTTTTGCCCGCACCAAGGCCTCGTTCATGCAGGCGTTCCGTATGTCTGTTTACAGATGAAAAACGGACACCCATGTATTGCTATGGACCAGCAGATGTAAACGGATGATCATCTGATTACATTCGTTAATTTCCACATCCGTTTTTGTGAACAGATGAAAACCCTATTTTCTTCCGTTTAAAAAAAACAAAAAAAAAACAAACTAAAACACGAAAAGCGGATGTGAATGGATGATAAACGGTTGAACGGATCCACTTTTTTTTTCTTGAACTGATGAAAATGCGGTTTTGATCTGACTTCTTTTGATTTCTCACACGTAGGGCAGCTCTTTGAAAAAAAAACAAATGCGACACATGTTGCTCCTGCCAAACGAAGCCCCAGTGTCATTACGTCATTGTCAGTATTTTTAAAACCTGCAAAAAGGTACATTTCAGAGACATTTCTTTTGCGTGTTTCTCACACGGGAGGGCAGCTCTTTGAAATGAATGGGCATTTACTCAAAATGCGATGTGCGTTTCTGTTGGGTCCTGCATTGTACAAACGAAGCCCCAGTGTCATTACAAAAAGTCATTGTCAGTATTTTTCCCCAAACCTGCAACATTCACCCAGGGTACATTTGACCTGTGGGGAGCAGACATTCACCCTGGGTACATTTCCCCCCAGTGATCGACCCAGGGTACATTTCCCCAGTGGGGAGCACACATTCACCCTGGGTACATTTCCCCAGTGGGGAGCACATTTCCCCAGTGGGGAGCACACATTCACCCTGGGTACATCGACCCCCATTTGGGGAGCACACATTCACCCTGGGTACATTTCCCCAGTGATTGACCCGGGGCACATTTCCCCAGTGGGGAGCACACATTCACCCACATTCATGTGTGCTCTGGATGAATGTGTGCGGGTCCCAAAAAAAAGGGGAATTAAAAAAGGAGGACATGGAAACAACTCACCATTGCTCAAGATTTGCATGCAAAGTTCAAGTAAGTGCAAAACAACTTTCAAATGCTGAAACAGCCAACTGGATCATGGTGACCCGCTCTCAACACCTTGGTTTATTTCCCAACCAGAAGGGCACCTGGCTGCCACCTTAGACAACAGGTTTTTATCCAAAATTACCTCAGGCAACTGCTCTCTCACATCTACCCACCACCATTACCGAATCTACCACCATAGACATCAGGTTTTCACCCAACAACACCTTGGCCAACCGCTGTCTGATGTCTATCACAGTTACCCAGTCTCAACCAGTGTGGCCTAAGTTGATGGGATGATGGGAATACACCAACATTTGGTTCTTTGACAAAGGTCCCCTTACCTTCTACTCCAGACGGTCACACCAGCCTGTCCACCACCTGGATACCTGCCGCCTCCAGCTGTCCACACAGGCTATTGATGGTACTGAGCTCCAGGTTCTTCTGCTGCAGGGAGGGGGTGTCCAGTGGGCCGCTGAATGCACCATTAATGAGGATGGTTGGGGTGAGGTGTACAGGTCCACCAGGTGGATTTGGGGTTGAGGAAACCCCAACAGGTAACCCACCTCTGCCCTTTACCATTGTCCTCCTGCCCCTATTGGAGAGCCTCTCCGAGAACTTCCTTGCCAGCTGCCTCAGGTTGCTCTTCTTAGGCGATGCAAGGTTTTCTTTCAACAAGTCCTCCATGGAGACCTCCAGGTTGAAGGAATACCAAAACAGCCACCACAGCAGGCTGAAGAAGACCAGGATGCCACCGCTGTAGTAGATGATGAACTCCCCAAAACTGCGACCTTGCAGCTGCAGGTTGGCAAAAACACCAGTCAGGATGAGGGCAACCCCCAGCACGTCAAAGCACAAGGCCAATAGGAAGAGGACCGGGCATCTCCCAACCAGTCTCCTTGGCTTACACCAAGACATCTTAGGATCAGGCAGCCTCTGCAGCCATTCAACTGGTCTGCTCACCTGTGAGCTCTGAGTGTTACCTGACTCCCTGCCTTCTTCCTCATTTGCATAAATTGGGAGACACTCCCAGGCCAGTCACAGCTTCCCTTGCTGTTGCATAAGAATGGAGGATAAAGTGAGGAATGAAAGGTGAGTGGGCGGGGCCTGATTACACCTTTCCAGTGCAAACTTTATTTTTAGCTTTGTGATAAACTGGGCTGTGCTGCTGGCATAACATTGCATCTAAAGCAGTCTGCTGCAGAGCATTGCGTCTAAAGAAACTTCTGCAGAGCATTGCGTCTAAAGGTAATCCACGGCTTAGCATTGTATATAACAAGCTGCTGCGTAGTGTCGCATCTACAAAAAAGTAATTTCAGAGCATTTTGTATAAAGATAAATCTCTGCAGAGCATTACATCTAAAGAAAAATCACTGAAGAGAAGCTACTGTTTAGCACTGTTTTCCGCAAACGTGCAAACTACAACGAAAAACCCGTAAGTGTTCACAAAAAATGTGCAAGTGCAAAACACCACACGAAAAAGTGCACTTAGGGGTGTGTTTGTCCTACCCCCGGAAGGGTTGGACCGTTCACCCGATCCCCCGGGGCACGAAGCTCCTGACGGGGACAAGGTTCCCACTTGGTCCTCCTGGCCAAAAGGCCTGGTGGACCACCGTTCCTTATGCCCAGCCGAAGCCGGACATCCAGTACTTGGTCAGCGGGCTCTCCCGAGGAGAAAACCTCCTAGGGATCAGGGGAGGAAGGAACCGTATGGCCACACATCCTCCCCCTAGACTTCAGGTAAGGCCCGAGGACCCACACCCTCCATCCGTGAAAAACACACACATAAGAACAGAAAAAGTGACAAAACGTGGGAGTGGTTAAATAAATAAATAAAAAAATAAAAAAGTGGTACCGTGCCTAATAGTGCACAGACCAGGCCCTGAGGCCCGTAGCAAAAATTGCCCTGAACTTAGCCAAAAGACCTGGTCCTTAGGGCGCTGTGCAAAAAGAGGTGAAAAACAGTGGCCATGTGTCATCTTCACACCGTGGGGTCCCACACCCAAGTGTTACTAGTGACACCCCTGAGAGCGTCTTCCCCAGGGGGCACTGAATTTGCAGACTTTTTGCGTCCCCAGCCCCAGGCCAGACCAAGGTAGATCCGTCCAAATCAGGAGGTACTGGGTCTTTCCAGCTTTCCCAGAGGAATTACTCCCAAGGTCCCAGAGCGTATCGTGGCCCCCTGGTTTCTGTCCCTCCGGTCCAGCCTTCCGGACCCCCATCATACCAGTGAGGGTACTATACAACAACCATCCCCGCAAAGCTAGAATGGTCGGGAGCACCCCCACTGGACACTGATAAGAACAGATACTACACTTGATCTTAGCCAAAAGGCCGCTACTGTTTAGCACTGTATAAACCGCAAGCTGCTGCAGAGTATTACATCTAAAGTGATATCATCGCAGGGCATTGACTTAAAAGGTAGCACACTGCTTAACGTTTTACGTCATGGCAAACCACAGCAGGCTGTTACATGTAAGTTAAAAAAAATTATCGCAGAGCATTACATCTAGAAGTATTCCTTTGCTTAGCACGGCATACAACAATACGTTGCTGCAGACTATTACATAGAAGTTAAAAAAGTATTGCAGAGTGTAGCATCCAGAAGTATTCCTCTGCTTAACTCGGCATAGAACAACAAGCCGCTGCAGAGTACTATGTCTAAAGAGAAATCACTGTAGAGCATCGCATCTAAAGAAAAAGTTCTGCAGAGCATTGCATCTAAATGTAATCTGCGGCTTAGCATTGTATATAACAAGCTGCTGCATAATATTGCAGATAAAGAAAAAAAAATTGCAGAGCACTTTGTCTAAAGAAAAATCTCTGCAGAGCATTGTGACTAAAGGTAACCCACTGCTTGCTTTGTACACATCCACAAGCCTCTGCAGAGTATTACAGCTTAAAAAAAAAAAAATTATTGCAGTGCATTGAATCTAAAGGTAACCTACTGCTTAACTTTTAATCAACAATAAGCCTCTGCAGATTATTACACATAAGTTAAAAAAAAGATCGCAGAGCATTGCATCTACATGTATGCCTTTGCTTAGCACGGCATATAACAATACGTTCAGGGGTGGACTGACCATAAGGAAACTCGGGCACTGCCCGAGGGCCCAGGATCAGTAGGGGCCCCCATGAGATGCCTCTGGTACCTTTTTCATAGGCTTTTTTGAGTTTGGGCAAGGACACAGGGGCCCCATGATCCCCTATTGCCTGGGGGCCCCATGAGTTGTCAGTCCGCCCCTGCTGCAGAGTATTGCATCTGAAAAGAAATCACTGCTGTAAAACCTTTTATCTGGCCAAGCCAGTGAGTCCTAAAAATATTTGTCCCTGTGTGACCGGCAGCATTTTATTGATATGACCTGCCAGCTGACATATAAGAACTGTCTGTAACGGGCAATTATCTGTACATGTGTAACATTTTTTGGCAGAGGATCAGGAATGGAAAATCTTTACAATGAAGGCGGTGTACTGTGGGAAGAGCTCCCGACTTGTCACTGTAGAAAAGAGTAATGTCTGTTGTCACTTTGAAGTCTCACTTAGCCTAAAGGCTCATTCACACCATGGATCGCTTTTTAGAGGGAGGTTGACAGGCAGCCAGGGGGCTATTTTAAGGGGAAAATTCTGCATTATGGCCACTAGGTGGAGCTGAGGATCAGCATTTATTTCCTATGATTGGCAGCTCCATCTAGTGGCCATAACATGGCATTGCACCAGACAGTTTTGCTGGTCAAATAGCTGTGCCCGTTTTTTCTTTATACATACACCCCGTTTTCTTTATACATACACCCCTTAGGGTGAAGCTGTGCTGACTTAAAGCGGTATTAAACACAAAAGCAGGCATTTATTATATTGCACAGTCAGTGGCTAAATGGTTAGCACTTCCGCCTGCCAGCACTAGGGTTGTTAGTTTGAATCACAGCCACAGCACCTCCTGCCTGGAGTTTGCATGTTCTCCCTGTGCCTGCGTGCGTTTCCTCGGGGTCTCCGGTTTCCTCCCACACTCCAAAGACATGCTGGTAGGTGAATTGGCTCCTGTCTAAATTGTCCCTAGTATGTGTATGTATGAATGTGAGTTAGGGACCTTAGATTGTACACCCCTTGAGGGTTAGGGACCTTAGACTGTACACCCCTTGAGGGTTAGGTACCTTAGACTGTACGCCCCTTGAGGGTTAGGGACCTTAGATTGTATCCCCCTTGAGGGTTAGGGACCTTAAATTGTACACCCCTTGAGGGTTAGGGACCTTAGATTGTATCCCCCTTGAGGGTTAGGGACCTTAAATTGTACACCCCTTGAGGGTTAGGGACTGATGTGAATGTACAATATATATATAAAGTGCTGCGTAAATTGATGGCGCTATATAAGTATCTGAAATAAATAAATATTGCAGCTTACCAATTCGTCGATGTGATGTTTGCATTAGTTTTCTTTTTTAGGCTTTCTTTCCTTTATTTTGTACCTCGAGATCTGGCCAGCAAGTCTGTTTTTTTTTGTTCAACAGAACAAGCTGTCTTGCAGATGTAGCAGTTGTAGTAGTTGGAGGGAAGAGAAAAACCATTTACTAATGTCAAGGGTGCGTACAATGATCAGCCTTTATCAGGGGCCGACTGACCATTTGGAAACTTGGGCACTGCCCGAGGGCCCAGGGTCAGTAGGGGGCCCCATGAGATGCCCCTGGTACCTTTTTCATAGGCTTTTTTGAGTTTGGGCAAGGACACAGGGGCCCCATGAGTTGTCAGTCCGCCCCTGGCCTTTATTTATCTAAATTCTTTATCCGTAAAGACAGAAATATCTGTTGCTGTAACTGTTTGTGTAGCTGCAGTGTGAGCTGGAGTTTGGCTTCAATGTGTTAGTGTATCTAAATCTGCTAGTGTGTCTAACATATTCCCCTCTTCCCAGACTGAGAATGCTGCTGGTAACAGGCTGTACCCTGTGCTCCTTCATCCAGAGTGAGGGTGCTCTAGTAGAGGAGGTGTGTTACTATCCAGATCACCTGGGAGGAGGCAGGGCAGCATGACCTGATCTTTAGGGTGAAGGTTCAATTTAGGGACCAATACAACCCCCACCCCCCCATGAAGACCGCTCACTGCTGAAGACCGCTCCTTCTCCTTGTGCAGGGTGACTGGTCTTGTCTTTGCCCCCTCCTGTAGTTTTCTGCTGACAGTGGGTGGAGCCTGTTGCATTTGTAGTGGGTGGAGCCTGTTGGACCTCCTCCCACCGCTCTGCTGTCTGCGCAGGCTTTGTACAGCACAGTGATGCTGTCACTGCTACTTTTCCAACTGGATATCTCGGTTTGCAAAGGCACTTGCTGCATACAAAGTGGATCTACACTCACTGGACTCTTTATTAGGTCCACCCAGGGGCGGACTGACCATTTGGAAACGCTGGCACTCCCCGAGAACCTGGGGTCAGTAGGGGGCCCCATAAGATGCCCCTGGTACCTTTTTCATAGGATTTTTTGAGTTTGGGCAAGGACACAGGGGCCCCATGATCCCCTATTGCCCGAGTTGTCACTCCGCCCCTGGGTCCACCTGTTCAATTGCTTGGCAACACTAATTGCTAATCAGCCAATCACATGGCAGCAACTCAGGGCATTTAGGCATCTAGACAACTTGCTGAAGTTCAAACTGAGCATCAGAATGGGGAAGAAAGGGGATTTAAGTGACTTTGAATGTGGCATAGTTGTTGGTGCCAGACGGGCTGCTCTGAGTATTTCAAAAACTGCTGATCTACTGGGATTTTCACGCACAACCATCTCTAGGGTTTACAGAGAATGGTCCTCCACAGGGTCGGACTGACCATTCGAGCACTGCCTGAGGGCCCGGGGTCAGTAGGGGGCCCCATGAAATGCCCCCGGTACCTTTTTTATATAGGCTTTTTTGAGTGTGGGCAGGGACATAGGGGCCCCATGATCCCC